ACATTGTTGCTATGCCGAGTTTCCAACAACAAAAAATATCTAACATTACATTTTAGCAAAATATAAAAGATTCAATTAATACATAAAATTTAAATCATGATTAAACTAACTGCTAAATCCTTATTTAATATAATTTGCCGTATATTATGTTTGATGGGATGTGTGTATCAAACGTATAAAATAAGTTTATTATACTTTTTATACGAAACCACAACTAATGTTATGTACGGATCGGAAGCTGTGCTTCAATTGCCAGGCATTACACTATGTGTGCGAAAAGTGTTTTTGTTTAAACATGGTTATAATCGCAGTAATATAGAAGATTATGATATAAATAAAAAATCAATAAGCACACAATACGATGATTTATCACGATCTTTTAATAAATACGTTAAATGTCGTTTTAATCAAGGAGTTTTTGACGATGACAAATATCTAGATTGCGAGAATGTGACCAAGTACAGGGTGTCCATTGATGGCGGTTCATATTGCGTAACACTATTTGCTCAGTCGGCAAATGAAACCGATGCTCAATTTACAGTGGGTTTAGATACAAATGTCGGTGTTGCCCAAAATTACCTTGTTACATTTATGATTTATAATCGCACATTAATTAAGAGCAATCATATTTTATTAACGCTTCACTCGCGCATAGAAAAATTGCTTCAGACATACCAAACGAGTTCAATTGTATTAAGGTTAAATGATCATAATAATCTATGTCTTATTAAATATAAAGAAACTGTAACCCAGTACATTTTACGCGAAAAGCAGCATGATTGTTTTGTTGGACTGACATGGAGGCAATGTGTTAGCGAGTGTGAAGTACGTGAACTGTTGGCCACTCGTTCGCTATGGGATTACTATTATCTCAATTATGATGTACACAATACCACGTTGTATTTCACTAACTTAACCACTATAAATAAAAATCAATTCAACACATATTGCGTGCGTGAATGCGCTAAACGTCACCTGAATGGCGATCAACATTACTACACAACATCGGTGTTAGAGTTGACAAATAATGATCTCGGGGTGGATAAATATTTCATGATAATTTCTAATCCAATTCAGCCCACTGTTTATTATAAGTTATACCTGAAAATGTACCTGGAAGAATATCTATGTCTGATGGCTAGTGTATTGAGTTTATGGTTTGGTATCGACGCCATCATGTTTACCAAGTTTTGTTATAAAATGTTTGACAAATTAATCTACATTTGTGTTAATAATAATAGTGTAGGACTTTTATTAAATCGATGTAATATTAATTTTAACTTAAACCGCCCTGCTAATGTAAATGTAGTTTTAAATGATCGAATAATTAGATTACACCAATTAAGGCTTATTCACACAAGCTAGATATGTGAACATATAATTAAATTAAAAATAAGCATAATGTTAATTTCAGACAATTTTATTTTACATTTTTATTAAAATATAACTTATAGTTTAATTGCAAACTTTTATGTACAGAATCTCTATTATAAGACAATCGTTTCAAACGTTTCGCTTTATTTACAAACATATTTTGTTTTAATAAAAACTTATACCAAAACGAATCATTTGTTTCCATTGATTTAAGCCAGTTGGTCACCCTATTTTCCAGGCCACGTCTAATATGTTTATCATAAATGATCTCGCACAACAAGATGGCCATGGTCAAATAGTAGCCTACCACGAGTATAGAGAACACGCCTCTCCACATGACTTTCAGTTTCAACGAATAGCTGGTGTCTATCGAACGGGCCATTCGTCGAAATTTGTCCGGAAACATGTCGGTTAAAATCTTTTTACGTAATTGACTCCTGACTGTATCAACTAGTTTATAATGCCAAAATAATCCAGCTTCAATTCCGTTTAAGATTCTAGTTATTGTAAAATTGTATTTATATTTTATATTTAAAGTAATCATTATTTATGTTACTAATTTTGTATTAAATAAAAATGTTAATTATTTTCTAAATATTAAACAAAACTTTTAATATTTTTAAAAATTTTATATTCCAAACTAATTGATTGTTAAATTAAAATTAATATGTTAAAAATATTACAATAATTATCACAATTAAAATCAACCACAAATTATGCTACTAGAAAACATGATCAAGGTAACAAATATAAGTTAAAACAAACTTACAGTTGGTAAATAGGGTGCCGCCACTCCACCGCTTTATGTATGAAAAACGTGCGATAAGTGGGCGAATACTTGCGCTCCAAAGTGACCGCTTCGGTGTCGGCGAACAGTATCTCCTTTTCACGCATACCTATAGTGGTGTCGACAATCACCGCCCGACCCCTCAGCACCATCTCGATTGTATCAAGCGCGTTTAATGCTTCAACATCGACCGGGTACATTGTCTCGTTTAATAGGCGATGCTCAAGTAGATGTGCCCCATGCTCAAAATCAAGAACACTGTCTACAGATTCTGTCCCGACCGACACCCAGCACTCAGTGTCGGCGTAAACGTTGCTAAACGACTCGTATTTGGGCACAACCCGGGCCTTCATATAGGAGTTGAGTAATACGCTGGACAGGCATTTGCACAGAGCTGTGCTCATAATTAGCCATACGGCCAGTAGTATTAGAAACGCGCGTTTCAGTCGACGACGGCTACCAATTCGGCTCCGGTTACGGATTAGGGCCCGAAAGTTGTCCAATGGTTGGCCGGTGACCGCACGCGTCACGTAGCTGTTGGCCGTGTCCATGGTAATTTGGTGCCCATTGGTCAGGGTGAATAGTATGGCCACCACTGTCATCGCTATGATTAATACTAGCCATATCTGATAAAAGAGGGGGTGAGAGTGGTAAAAACAATTATGATGGTGATTATATGAGATTCCATGTATTTACGTAAGCTTCAAAAAGGTAGAAAAACGAGAAGAATGTCTCGTTTTTGACCACTTTGTTAGTGGTCATAATTTCTACCAAGTATACTTGTTCAGTGGGCACGAGATCACCATGCTCGGCCCCGTCTTTGTCCACGTTTATTGGGTCTAGAAATAGCCTTTCTTGCTGTGATTGTATGCAAAAAAAAATATTGTGTATATAAAAATCTAATTTACATGAATTATAAATGATAGAATTAAATTTAAATTGGTTATTTTTGTTACTTCGTAATAGTAGCCGCTGCTGTAGCCAATAGTGATGTTTAGTTTTAAATGGCACATGATCTTCTCTACTATTGTCAATAGGAAACTATTTAAGACAAACTGTAAAACATATGACAGTTTTATAACAATTATCACATGATTAACCCTTAAAGCTTAAACTATAATTATAAACGTTGTAAATAAACTGGGAAACTAATCTCCCAGCAGTTAGTGCATAAACTGGGAGATTAATAACCCACGCTTTAGTGCTGTTTATGCTGGGAGAATAGTCTCCCAGTTTATGCAGTTTAATGCTGGGAGATTGATCTCCCAGTTTATGCAGTAAGGGTAGATTAAAATTAGCACTATTTATACTGTAGGGAAAAAGTAGCAGTAAGGGTAGATTAAAATTAGCACTATTTATGCTGTAGGGAAAAAGTCACATAACACATACACTGGGAAACTAATATCCCAAACTTTAATTTAACCATGATAATTAATTAATCATATAATTTATGAACATATAATTTTACCAATATTTAAAGCTAGCAATTTATGAGGCATTAATGAATTTTTTCCCGGCTAGCACTCTTCATTGATTTTTAATTGAAATTCAAAGTGGTAATGGGAGACTAGTCTCCCAGTTTAAGCTTCTAGGGTTAAATAAATGTTAAATTTTAATTTATATAAACTGTATACAAAAGCTTTATCGGCCATCACATAGTCTATGGATAAGTTACCAATGGGTGGCCACCAGTTGTTATTAGCCTCGCAGTAATAATATATCGTATCTTTTTGCATATAGCGATAATTAAAATACTGGATAATTTTTTCATCCACTTCATCGTTAACATTAGTATCAACATCATTTCCTAAGTGTAATCCCAGGCTATCCATGTTGGCCACCCTATATATGTTTTAATTATTGTTGTCGCATCTTGATCAAATTATTATGTGTTAATTTTTCTATTTATAAATAGTAAGATTTAATTTTTAGTAAATATAATTATTATTAAACACCAACTAGATGATTAGGCCTAATTCATGTTTAGCCACAACTCAGATTAAATAAAGTATATCTACAAAGTAGGATTGCTACAATCCATTCCTCTCACTTGTATAAAAATTATAAAGTTTTAAAAAATACATTTCTAATAACGTAAATAAAATTGCACTAGCTAGCTTTTAATTAATGCAACTATATTATACAACTACTGTATCTGCATATTAAATATTATAATTATATAAAACTCTATATTTTAGTATTCAAAATAAAAATATTTAAGTTCAATTAAGCTTACTCTATAATTTGCATAGATTAACCGAACTTTAATTGTACAAAGTAGAAACTTGTAAATAGCTATTAAATACAACTTTATCTTTCATATGTACAATATTATTGATCAGATAATTTTAGTAAGATAGATTTATCATGGAATATGATTCTTGGTATATGTAAAATATATAAGTTGTGTCCAACTAATTATAGTGGACTTATTATTTAATATCACTGACACACAAATTATAGATTATAAGTAAAAATAAATTATTCAATTGTCTTGTATGTAAATATTATAAATATACGTACATATAGTAGGAAGTTATATTCAAATTAGTGTATTGGTATTATAATATATTGTACGTATTTATATATTAAAATTTTTGAGTAATAAATTTAATAAAACTACTAATGCATTATATTTTATTTTAAACAAAAATAAACCGATAAAATGGATTAAGGAAGCTTTTAAAAAATTATAATTAAAATTTATTGTTTACTTTAATTATTACTGTAATTATTAAAACAAATATAAAATTAAACAAAATATTATTTTTAAAAACTTAATTTCAAAAATACATATTTTACATTTGATTAAAGCACCATTATTGATTTAAAATAAAAACACACATTTCCTAAACAACAAAAATAGATTAAAAATGCAAAATCATATCAAAACATAACAAACTAGTGATGTTTAGTGGCGGAGAAAACGCGATTAAATGCCGCCGTTTGGGCGTATGGTATGGAAAAGGGTCGCCACTCGCGTGGGCACGGGTTAGTGTCGGGTCGTTCTCGTTTGGTTATGCGTACGTTCGCCAGATAAAAGTTAACTAGACGTTTGTGAACGGCTAGGATTTCAGCCAATACCGCCTGGGTCATTTTATTTGGCTGCAATTTTATTGATTCCTTTTCGTACTGATCTGTCCATCTAATATAATTATAAAATTATATGGGTTAATTTTATATTTATCTTGTTAGTTTAGATTTAATTAAAAATATAATACTATGGCCCATAGTCCTTTAACCTATAGTTTATGTGTTAATGTACTGTATAAGCTAGAGTTTTATTTGTTCTAATACTTGAAACTAGATAACTTAATAATATTTGTCACTATAATTTAACAAAAAAATTAACGTTGCGTTTTAATAATGTAAAATTATGGGTCAATAACTTTAGATATTTTCAAAATAAACCCTGTTGTTTATATAACAGTAATTGGTACAATATACCAAGTGTACTCCAAATTGGCCCCGATTATACAAATGCATAATCCAAGTCATGTGCAATTAAGAACCAATTTAGGACACTCTTGGTAATAATGCTTACACTAGCAACTCCTTGAAACCCGCTTTACTTTCTGGCTCACTCGCTGAAAGTAGCTTGTTAACGTATTCGTTTTTAACACGCTCCATTGGTTCAACGACCGTGTTCATGCCCTTAAACACTTTGATAGCCTTAGCGCGTTGGGTGCGATTTTTGCACTGATTCATTAACAGCCGGGTCCGTTCACTGCCCATTAGCCGTACGATGATCTGTATGTGTAGATTATGGGGGTATACGGTGTCAAAGTATGTGATCACTTTGTCGCTGTTCTCAATGGAATTTCTAATATAAGCAATTAATTAATTAGTTTCATTAAAATTTTATATTTGGTTAAGTATAACGCAAGTTTATAAAAATCCGCAATTTTAAAACATATTTATAAATCAAAATAAGAATTTTATAATTTCCAATTAATTTAGTTAATAAATTATGATTTATAAAAATTGCGTATTTCTATAAATTGGAACTAGGAATTTTTAAAACGTCTTAAAGCTCTAAAAAAATATTTTGCTTAAGATATTGTGGTATAAAGTTTTGTTATTTGTTGTAAATTATAACTTATAATTAAAATCATTGTATTAGTAAAATAACTTAAGGTCGCATTGGGTAACAAACAAGGCTTTTTATCTTCTGTTTTAAAAGTTATAAAAATGCTAATTAAAAGTACAAACTGACAGACAGTACTGTTGAAACTCCTCGTCCTCTTCGGGCCACAGGCGCTGAGTGTCACCCAAACGGTATACGTCTGACAGGAGATCATCGATATCTTGACACCCATTACTCCCGTATCCGTACGTATGGCTCACCCCTAACCACACTATTATGTATGTGTTGTAATTGATCATGGTTAGTTGATTATGTAAATAATTATTTGGATACTCACGAAAAAATAAGATGTTTAATGTGTTGGACATATTGAACGCCATTAAATGTGTTTACATAAAAAATTGTTAATTAATTTTTTAATTAATTTATTACATAATTTTGTATTAATATTATTATGTTATTATGTACACAATATTAAATTTAATACTATTAAAATAAAATATAATTTACATTTTGTATAACTAAATTTAAGATAATTAAAACAAATTTATGTTATGTAAAAATACAAAACAATATTTTTTCATCATATTTAATTTATTATTATTTTTTACACAAAGATAATTAAATATGCAGATCATTGTATATGTTTACTGAAAGTATATGTATCCATGACATTTATACCTTGTTTTTAGTAGAATAACATATTTATTATGATATAATATATTATACATTAAATTAATGTACAGTAGACTAAAATCGATATAATATTAATTTTGGCAAAGTATTACTTTACTGCTATTTGTATACAGAAAATAATATTAATAAATTAACGTTTATGATACAAAATATTTGTGAATATTTAATCAACGTAAAAATATAACTAATATATTTATCATATTTCTGATAAGTGAGTAAAATGCTATTTCAAAATAATTGTCATAAAAGTGAACGATATAAAATAAATATATATTATGCGTTGTTAGTTAAAAAAGTTATTGATAATTTTATTTTAAAACAAAGCATATAATAAATTACAATAAAATATACTTTAAAATGTTTATTATTAAAAAGACAACCGAAAACATCAATGCAATCGCAAAACTATTATGCCTTATGGGTTGTGTCTGGCAATTGGTACACATATGTCAACAATACTACTCCTATGAGACCACGACTGATATCCGGTACGAACACGAGCTGACCGTAAGGTTGCCGTCGATAACCCTATGTCTGCAAAAAATTGATTTTATAAATGAAGAGCAAATTAAAGAAGACTTCGGGTACCCAGAGTTAAATGAAACAAAGTTGACAAATTATTTGAACCAGATGAAAATCTCGGACCAGTTTGCATCGTTAGATCCGCCCGCGAACACAACCGACGGGCTCTATTGCTTTCTAACCAAGCCCACAAACTTTGCCCTAGGTCAGAATCACAGCGATCATAATGTAGAATATATTACCTGCGATAAGATCTCGCCTATTGTACGCTCAATCAGCAACGAGTACTATTGTTTTACCCTATTTTCCCGCTTGAATGCCACGGATAAAGTGTACGAGATTTCAAATAACCCGACACAACGCCGATCGCGAGAATATATGGTCACTTTACCGGGTAATGAGTTGGGAACTGAGATTACCATGCACATTCAACCCAGTCATTTACCCGTAAATAGCCCAGAGCAAGAGGGTGCCACAGTGATTAATGGTAAATTTAAGGTCATATCCGTAGAGTATCAGATGACCAGGGTGCATTTGCTGTCTCAACCATACCGGTCAGCCTGCGTTCAGCGCACAGGCTATACATCGGAATCCAATTGTATGGCTGAATGTCTGGTCCGAGAATATGTCACCCGTAAAGGCAGTAATCCCTATCATTATCTGACCGCTGATCGCAACTCCAGTTTGTTTATCACTGACCAGAAGTTGCCGCAAAAATTGTCCGATAGTTGTGTCGCTAAGTGTAGACAAAATCAAGATTGTTATCAAGAGTACTATCAGATCGTAGGCAAGAATAGGTACGACCCCTGGGAGAGCGCACCTAATGCTGCATCAAAACCAATTAATTTTAGCGTAATGTTCCCAACCCTACCCTCCCTGACCTATCGCATGTCACCCAAGTTTTATTTCGGTGAATTTCTGGTACTTCTGGGTAGTATTGTTAGCTTATGGTTAGGCCTGTCGGTGCTTTCCGTGTCCAATTGGCTCGGCCACAGTCTACTGAATGTGTATAATAGGTTTAAGCATGATGAGTTTAATATTAATTTTACATTAATCAAGTTTTGTCCCTGTATTAAAAATGTTC